AAGAATTATTTTATTATTTAAAATTTTAATATTAAAAAGAATAAAATTTGAATTATCCAAAGTTTTACTAGTAAAACTGAATATTGCAAAAAAAATTTTAAAAAATACTTATTCATCAGATTTATATTAAAATTTGGATTCTTAATAAAATATTAGTACTTATTTATTTTATTATTTATTTATTTATTTTATATTTACTATAAATAGTGATTCTAGAGTCCTAATTTTTTTATAGACCATGTAACTATGTCTAAATTTATTTATTTATTTTGATAGGATTTTTGACCAAATAAATAAACCTCCATTAACTTTTAAATTATATAATTTAAGTCTTATATAGTCAAATAGGACTGGATCCTTTATTTGTTGTTTATTTTGTTATACAATCAAAATAAAGAACCTAGTCTTCTTGATTTTATTTGATGTACAGTATTCATATTTAAATTTAGTTTTTTTATAATTTTTTAAAAACAAATTCAGGATTTTAAAAAAAACTATATATATATATATATATATATATATGTTTGCACCCCACTTAATTTGTAACTTATTGGTAGATAGAAATTTTATAAATTATAAAAAAATTTATAAACTTAAGTGGTGTTATGCAGTTTTAAAATTTCCAAATGTTGTGATCAGGTCACATTTTGTGATCCTCTCTGTCCCTCTCTCGGTGCTGATTCATGGGCCAAAATAGCTTGATCGTCTGGTTTAACGGAGTGAATCTTCTGCTTCTACTGTTAGTTGGGGGGGGGGGGTCCTGTGAATATTTGTCTTAGGGTTTTTTGAGCTATTTGCATGGTTTGATGGAAGCTGTGGAGCGATAATTGTGTTCTCTTATGTTGATTGTTTAGGTTGCTGGAGAGTTTTGTGTTGCTTGTGAGGTGTCGTAGTGGTGCCAGATGTTGAATTGTGGAGTTTTGTGGAATTGAGGAGCTGATTTTGTGAGACATTGTGCTCATTCAGGAGTTTGAGCTATGAATGCTTTTTAGAAGCGAGAGCTTCTGTCATCATGGATCTTTACAAGGTGAATTCCCGCCGCAAACGCAATAACCTTGATGCGTTTTGGCATTGATTGTTTTTTTCTCTATCTTGTTGCATTGCGTACAACGATCGCAGTTCTCTCGTGGAGTTAATGTTGGCGTAAAGAGTATTGTTGCTCGAGTGCTGCTCTCCGGATTGTGTCATCTGGGAAACGTATGAGATAAACCTTATTGTGGTTTCATTGCTTTTCAATTGTTTATTATTTTTAAATTTAGATGTTGAGTTTCTATACGAAACATTCGTGAGTAGGACCACAGTGGTTTCGGTGTTGATGAGGTCTTGTGCATATATATATAAATAATAAATAAATAAAAATATATCTATTTCAATCTTGGATTAGTAAAATATATAAATATTTTTATTACTGTAAATTTTTTTAGTTATTTTATTCAACCATTTTTATTTTCAACATCCATCATATGACTTTCTACACTTTCCACAAAATTTGATTTCCCATGTTCAATTTATAGTAAAATTCTTTCAAATTCTTGAATGCTACATTACTGCTTGGAAATGCACAATTTGAGGCACACCTACAAAGAAGGACTGCTGTTATGACTTAATCAAAAAATCCTTCCAACCTTGACTAATGCGGTGTCTTTATCAATTGACTTTTAATTATAGACATTGTCATGCGAAAGTCATAAACCCAGTTTCAGATTTTGATATATGAATGCCCAGTAAATGCACAGTGAAAAGCAACATGGGCAGTCTTCTGTCTATCCGAACTAATCAATTACTGTTGAGTTTTGATAAAAGAAGATCAAACACAGAATCTTCAAACAGGAAGGCTGAGTAGTAATCTGCACAGGCATTGTCCCTGCAGGAAATTAACTTCTGCAAATTTCTAAAAGTGGATAAAACTATCCTCTGCATCATTAAAGGAACTTAGTGACTGGGCATACTCAGCTCTGACCTTTTCAAAGTACAATTCAGTCATACTGCTCACCGACAGATGGACAGAAGGATTCAGGCATGTAGTATATTGAGTATCTCTGCACTTCCAATGGGTCTTTTCTCACAAAACAAAGAAGAGAATTACTTTCCGACACAAGCCCTATTTAATATACCAGTTTTGTGTCTCATAGATTTCAGAAAGATGCCTCCTTCCCAGTTCCGGTTGAGCCTATCACAACTGTTTCTGACTGATGGCTAGAATTCGGAATATTGGTCATGGTGCAGCAACTATGGTTCATTCAGAAAACTAGCTTCTGATCATGATATTGTTTTCATAAAGTGGAGTATAAATAAAAGGATTATAAATTGTAGCAAATATGCAGTAGACAAGTTACCCACTAATATTAAGGTAGTGAATGACCTACCTAGCATGATGCATGTGTGAATCCCGATTGAAGGCGAAGACATCAAAACTTCGTGAAGCTGTTGCACCTTAAATTCGCCAGAGCAGACCCTCCAAGAGAATGTAAAATTGATTGCAAGGTACTGGCGTAGCATATGTCTGCACTAATTTTCGGAGGGCTTCTCAGAGCAGTGATGGTACGCAATGTTACATAATTCTGCAGTTCTAGCTGCAGCTTCTGAGCAATTTTCACAGTTGCTTCATCACTTACACGACCAATCGTTGAAGGTTGCTTTTTCCATTCCAAAGAAGGAACTAGAGTTTTTTGATGTCACTTCTGGCCAAATTTCTTCAAAGAAAACACCATTGGCCACTGCCCCATTCGAGCTCCTTCGACCTCAGTTTCTCTCAATTCTTATTGACCCATTTTTTCCTATATAAGACTCCGAGACAACCCCCCAACAAATTGTCGTCTAACTTAAGTTGGCAAAACCAATGCCCTGAATTCCTTAGGTTGATATGAAAAGAACTTCATGCAAGACTGTAGGAAAACGTAACCGGAAACACACCTGTAATTTTTCCTGAGCTTTTGAAGAGCACGAGGTGCTATTTTCAAAACTGCAGCATGGGCTGCATTGCTAATCAGTGTCAAAAACAAAAAACAATCACTCTTCGTAAGTGTGGGCAATGTTCCAGGACTGCGTTGTAAAAAGCTAAAAATGCTCTTCAATGAACAAATAAAATAACCAGGGTCTCAAAATTCCTTAGATGTGAGAATTGATATCTGCAGTACCTATCTGATAACTTTTCTTGAAACAAAATCAAACGTTGAGCAGTGTGCTTTAGCTAGGGTACCACATTCGGGCTCCGAATGCACGAAAATCGACAATGCTTGATACTTTCTGTAGAATGCATAAATTGCTTTAGTGTCCACAAAGACAAGTTTTTTGTGTTTTACTTGTAGCATCATGAATTGGTTGCAGGCGGAAGTCCGTATTGTTCAAAACTGGAGTCCTTTATTGCATTCATGTTAGCAAGTTAAGATGTCATGTTAGTAATGCACACCCTTTCGAGTGACACATTCGAGTAAGCTGACTACCACATCCAGCATACATGTGAGCATGCATTGTGCAACAGGCTCTCATCACAATCCAGTATGCGACCCGCTTGTTCTAATACCAGCGTTGCATGGCCAGCGCAGTCATCACCACTTGCAAAGAGGGGTCGCTTCTCATGTTATTGAGCTTAGAGCACTGTTGGAACCAGCAGGGCTTGCTCTGAACAATTTTGACGCCAGGCTCCGAATTTGCAGAAGTTGAGTTCATTACATAATACAACGAAAATTACAGTGGCATAACCAAATGGATTTTTACTGCACTAATCCAACCGGCACAAACGACAGCAGCCCCAAAGCCATTATCCCCAGCATTTGACATGAAACAGCTTGTCAATGAAATAAAACCCTCATTCAGAAAATGTTAATATATTTATGTATTATGTCTAAAATTAAAATTAAAAACTAAAAATTACTCACCTCTGCTCCATTGGTGCTCAAATACGGAGAAACCGAACAGATTGAACTGCTTGAAATTTTAGTAGTGGCAGTGTAGGCACTTCCATTAGAGTGAAATTCGTCAACGCCGATGCAGATATCACAGCAGTATGAGGGCATACAGCTACGATATGCACAGACATCCCCTGATTGGAACTTGTTGCAAACCTTGGATCAAACTTCTCCTAACTCCAAGTTTCTATGTTTCCCTTCTTTGGAGCTTCTGATTTTTACTTCTGTTTTTAGTTCCGAGTATTCTCGCACCTTTGCATAAGAGAATCAATACCCACGTCCGCTGATCCTCCACCAGTTGTATGAACTCGATGACATAATTATTCAGAGCATCGACTGGTGATTCCACCTTGACTGAATATAAGCGCGCTGTCTATGACAGCACTCACCATTGGAGTGGGCGTGACCCTTCTTTTTCAGGCAGAATGTAGGACCCCAAAAAATCAGAAACTCATCACTCTTGAATGAGTAAAGAACTACATCTGATTGGATAGACAACTATCAAGACTTACCTGCTGTAACCAACTGTTTGCTTCACAGTCGAAATTGGAGCATTTCTATGTGCAAGTTAATCATTATCATAGACTGGCCTCTACATATGCTTCAGCTCCTCAATTGCTCCCTGCATGGCTGATAAATCATTCAAGCATCTTGTGATGGCACTTCAGCCTGCAACACCAATACTACGGTGACTTGTACTAATTACATAAAGCACTGACAACAGAAGACGATTAATATCGACCTTGATCACAAATCGTTGGCAAATGCAGCATTTCGTGAGCAATGCAAGTAAACAGGGGCACTGCTCTCTCGTACTGTTGAAACAAAGACAGATAGATGTGAGGCCCTCTTTAAACATGCCACACTGCCATCGAGAGGTGCTACATCCGCAATTTAATTTAGTGGCAACTTGCTTCAAAACTTGAGTTAAAAGACCTGCCAATTGCGACTCCAAATTCATGCTCACTTTCACTTGGATTGCCCCAAAGACGCTTCCATCGTGATATCCTCAAGAACTATGCAAGAAAAACGCATACACATAACCCAACTGGAAGCCGTAAAAGAATCAAAATTCGCTCTGAAGGAAAAAGGATGAAATCGACCCTTGATCCACTAGAAGGTTTTATCGAAAACCCAAATGTGTTGAAAGAGCTTGGAGAGATAGGATGTAAGACCATCTCGAGTTGTGAGTCCTCATGTGAGATCAGGTGCGGTGGCATGCATTTCAGAAGCTTCATTGTGTGATAGACGTGAACCCCACACTCCAAATTTTCTCAGGGTTTGGCAGAGAGCAACTTAGGTTTCGTTTCCTCTGCCGATTGTTGCAAGAGTCCTGTGAGATGGCTCCTGTGAAGACATCAGATGAAGCAGTGGTGGATGGGAAACTTTTCTACTGGTGAGAGGGTGGAAACAGTATGGTCATGTGTATGACAATTCGGAATTGAAATGCTCGCGATGGAAGTCGCGGTGGCAGGCAGGTCTTTGATGTGCAATCTCGGGTGGCACCACCACTGGGAGAAATCTAAACGGTTGCAACATCTTGTAAAGACATTCTGTTGGATGTCATTGAGGTGTAGCGTGAGAAAGATTTTGTGATATAATTTGAAGTACAAAGATTTCATAGTTGTACAATTTTATGACATGACATCTCAACTTCTTACGTAGCTATGGAGCGTCATCAGTGTCCAAGCGTAGCCTACGGGCGATTGTGGGCCTCCTCCGTCAGTTCAATGCAAGTGTAAGCGGAATTCAAACTCCTCCATCCGCAGAGTTTGGGGTTTATTCATTGAAGGTGGCTGTAGACTATGAGCGCGACAGTACTAGAACAGTATTGTGGTGTTGTAGGGGAGGTTGTAGATATCCTTAATTGAAATCTGGAGGGATGGAAAGTGGTGCTGAAGAAGACGGAAGAAGCAATAGGGCGTGTGGAAAAAGTGCTTAGCTTGGCCTGCTTCCGGAATTCCTCAGTTGTGAAGTGCTGCTTGCTCAGAGTGTTCGACAACAATTCTCTAAGAATTTAGTATTTATTCCCAGGGGTGGAGGATGAAATCGACTCCTGATCCACTAGAAGGTTTTGTTCAATTGGCAAGGCAGGCCAGAATCCCTAAGAAAGTTTCGAGCATCATCGGAAGAAATCGACTTTTATATTGAAGGTACGGGTGTTGAGCAGCTGTTTGAGCTCAAAAATTGTTCATGTTCCTCCCTTCTAGTTAGACAGTGTAACGACTGGAAAGGTATTTAAGCTTGCATGAGCTGATCGAATGGTCGATTCTTAGTATTCAAATTACTAGCTTTGATCATGATTTGGGAAGCAAAGCTGAAAAGAAACATATGTGCCAATATGACGTCAATCGTATGCAACAGGACAATACATGTTAATAGTACCCACTGTTTATTGACACATATGTATGTTATGATTTTCTTTTTCCAGACTCTTGCACATGTTGTGGGGTTGGTTTGGCATTGTTTCCGTTGTATCAGTTAAGCTCAAGAGAATAATGAAGATTGTTTTTGAATGGAGAATGGCACATTCAAGATCACTTTTCATGTAGTATTTCGGGTTACATTGAAATTTCTGGATTTAGTTGTGCAAGTTGCTGGCGGTTTTCGATTAGTTGCTCAAAATTTTCGACTTTGTATGAAACGTCGACCAGTGAAATTTTGGTAATAATTATTTCTTTTCTTTTCTTTGGTAAAAGTACGCTATCTGCAACTTCATGAAAGACGTTGGGAATTCAAGTTCAGGTATCTACCATGGGTTAAGAATGTAGAAGTAATTTTATCTGCTACACCTTTCCTTCATCGCGTCTGTTCCTATTGGGTAGGCCTCATAACACGACGCACATAATAATATGTGAGAATTTGTGGGTCGATTGGGGTTTACTTTATCAGCATGTTCCCTTATTTCGCATGTCGCAGGAAAGATCTTTATAATATTGATTTGGAGATTCAAGCATATTTCGGGTGAATCTAGATTGAAGAGAAAAAGCCTGTGACAGTTATGTAGAATATATTACATTTGCTTCTCTGTGAACATACCCGGCTGGTGGAAGAACTGTATAATGAATGCGCTGTAGCACATGGTGTAGTTACAGAGGTTGTCTAGATCGAGAGACACAGAAATGTTGTGGTCATGGAACATCCAAAATCCAAAATAGAAGTGGTCAGGTAGAATTATTTCGCTTCAGGTTACGTACAATCGGGTACATTTAAGCGAATCACATGTGGTGGATACTAGTGCATCGAGGTGCAATGTTGGTCAGCGACTCCATCGCCAGGTTATTGGCAGGCATGAAGTGAAGGACTCAGAATCGGAGATACAGACGCTTATTCGGGATAAGAACTAGTCATTTATGTGAAGAGCATTTATGTGAAGAGTATATGCAGTAGATTCTAATTTCATCTCATGTTATCTCGACACTTGTGGTTGACTTAACTAATCAGAACTAAACTAGTGGTTGCTTTGATATCTTTCAACACTCTCCTTAACCCTAGTTTTCATTCTTTTCAAAATTTTCAAATCTTTATCAGAAGCGCAGTATTATCTTGACTCTTTTGATTTGTAGAAAATTTGAAGTAGTCCCCCATTTGTTTATTTTGCTGATGAGTAAACCCACTGAGTGGTTTTGTTAATATATCATCCTGTTAATATTTACTTGGAATAAATTCAACTTCAATACTTCACTAGTGTATCTTCTTTCTTGTGTAATGATGCTGCAACTCTATATGTTTTGTTCTTGAGTGTATTACAAGATTATTTGCCACTTTTATACAACTCATATTATTACTATTTTTTTTTGTTGGTTTGTCTTCTTGTATTTGTAACTTAGTGAGTAGTCTTTAAAAGTAGCAGATTTCTCTGGCACCTTCAGATAAAGGTTTGTATTCCGCTTCAGTTGTTGACAATTTCTTGTAAGTTACTACTCCAATGAATAGGTGAAGATCTAAATTTATGTAACAACCGTGTTACTGATTTTCTAGTATCTGTATCTTGAGCAAAATCTGCGTCCGCATAAGTTTGTAATTCCCCTTCATCATCAGCTCAAAACAAAATTCCATGATTCATTGTTCTTTCAGATATTTTAAAATATTTTTGGCTACCATAAGATGTGCTTTGTGCGATTGATTCATGTATCTTGAGCAATAGTATACTGCATATACTATATCAAATCTGGTTATTTGTAGATGAATTAAACTCTCAATCAAGGATCAATAGTAAATAGCATCACATAGTAGGAACTTCATGTCTTTATCAAGTTTTATTCTTGTATTCATTAATACGGATACAAATTTTGAATCTCATTCCTAACTTTTTCAATAATTTCATAATATATTGAGTCTCATGCATCCAAATTCTTTGTTTAGTAAATACAAACTTTGGCCCTAAATAAGTGTGCACATCGTCCAAATGAGTCATTTTATATTTACTTTGTAAATATTTTTAAATATTTTCAAAATTTGTATAATCATCTCTTTTTTTTCAATAGAATAATATAAATTATGATCTTCATTATTTTTGTTGAGATTTTTTTCTTTCAAATAATTGTCTATTCTTGAATACTAAACTCTTAGAGCTTGTTTAAGTCCATATAGAGCTTTTTTCATTTTGCAAACCTTTTCTTTTGTGCTTTCATTTCTCTATCCATCAAGAACTTTCATAAAAATTTCTTCTTCAAGAATGCCATTTAAAAATATAGTTTTGACATCTAAATGTCTATTTTTTCATTTTTTTTCTAGAAATAAGTGCTACAACACATCTTATAGTTGTCCATTTTATTACAAGAGCAAATGTCTCAAAATAATCAATGCCTAATTTTTGAGAATCTCTTCTTGCTACTAGTCTTTTTTTGTATTTTTAAATATTTTCTTTATTTTTTGTTTTAGCTTTAAATACCCATTTTGAATCAATTAGTTTGATTCCATTTGGTTGATTGATTAAATTCCATGTATTGTTTTTTTTAATGGCACTTATTTCTAGTTAAATTGCTTTGTTCCACTCTTTAGAATTTATTGCTTTATAAAAAAAAATTATGTTCCTATATTTCATGTTTTTCTATTGTCCAAATGTAATCCTATAATCTTATATTTGGTTTCTTTATTCATTTTGATTTTTACATATTTATCTTTCTGATATCATAACTAGATTTTTGTTTTCTCTGAACAATATTATTTGAAATATTAACTTCTATAATTATTGATGGATTATCCTCATAATCAACTTCATTATAAACTATTTCTTCTTTTGGAGGTTCAAAACATCCATCTGTACCTCGATTTCAATATTATTTCTATTACATTTTGAAGCAAATTTTTCTTCTCTGTGTTGAGTTATTTTTTGATCAATATGTTCTCAATCATTAATTTGATCAACTTTGTCATATATTTCATGATTCTGAATATTTGTTATTGAAATTTTGATTGACTTTGTATTAGTTTTGATCATATTATCAATTTTCCCAAATTCAAATCCAACTTTGGATTCATCAAATATTATATCCCAATTGAGAGGAATTTTATTTCTTCTATAGATCATATAATTTATATACTTTATTCCTTTCATCATATCCCAACATGATATGCTTTAAAGTTTTTGATTGAAATTTTGATTTCTCTTCCTTAGGTACATGTACACATATCAAACTTCTTATAATTCTTAAATAATGAACTTCTAGTTTCTTCTTTGTCCATCTTTCTTTTGGTGTTTCTCCTCTGTTAGTCCTTGTAGGTCCTTTGATTATAAGATAATTTTCTATATTCACCATTTCTAACTAAAGATATATAAGTAATTTTGCTTCATATTATAAACTTCTTGCCTTTTCAATAATTTCTCTATTTTTTATTTTTATTTTTGCTACATCATTCTGAGGAGGAGTTCTAGCTTGCATCAATTATCTTTTAATTCTATTTTTTTGCAATATTTTGTAAATTCTATAGATGAGAATTCTCTCCTTCTATCAATTCTTAATATTTCTATTTTATTATTAGTTTTAGCCTCTATCATTGCCCTAAATTTCTTGAATTTTTGAAGAGTTTCATTCTTTGTTTAAAGAAATATATCCAAATTTTATTACTTCTATTGTCAATAAATACGGCAACAAATCTTGACATATTTAATGGTACTATTCTCATAAATCCTATTAAATCAGCATGAATAAGTTGATTTATCTTTGTTGCTCTATTAAAAGATGCTTTTGGAAATTTTGTCTATATTGTTGTTCTGCTAAATAAGCTTCATATATTTGATTTGCATTTTGAATTGTAGGTAATCAGTTCATCCAATTTGCCTTTAAATGATGATATAGGCTAATATAATTGAGATGTCTAAAACAACAATGCCATTTCTCTGTTTTAATATTAGCTAAAACAAATTTGACTTTTTTTTCTTTGAAGATAGTCTTACCAGATTTATATAATCCGTTTTTTGAATCTCTATACCAAATTGCAATTACTTATAAGTTTTTTACATTGTCTAGAATATACATACAAATTTTTGTGAAAAAGAAAACTATTCCATTATTTGCAAGTCATTCTACTAATGATAGATTCTTGATAATAGTTGAAAAATATAGAACATCAATGATCTTTATTTTACCATGGTCAATTTTTAAATCAACATCTTATTTTTCTTCAATTCCATGTGATTCATTATTTTTTAATAGTAAGAATTTTATTGTCTATTTCTATCATATTTGTGACTAAATTCTTTCTCTTGTCACATGAATCCTACATTCATTGTCCATATACCATTATTTTGTATTCTAGAATTAAACTAAAGATGCCTTGAGTTCATCTGATTCTTTTGATTTTTTAAATTCAGAATCTACTACCACATTAATATCATTTTTTATGATATTTTATCTTTTCCAATAATAACATTCTTTTGCAATATGACCGGACTTACCACATATAAAAAAAATTAATAGCTTTTTGATATTAAACATCCTTTCCTTCTTCCTCTGTGGCTACATTTATTTTGTGAAAAATTTCCTTAAGTTTGTCCACATCCATAATTTAGGCCTACAATATAATTAATGTTGACCTCTCTCAAGTCTTAAGCTCTTAACTTTAGTTGCTTTACTTTGTTTAGTATTTATATAATATATTTATCAAATCTTGGTAGTAGAGTGGAATTATTAATAGATTGTATTGTCATATCATAATTTCTAAGTAAGTCGTTCAAGAGAAGATTTACCATCATTTTTTTTGAAAGAGCTTCTCCCAATGTCACTAGTTTGTTCTTGTATTCCCTCACTAGTCTCACATGTTCTTCAACATAGCCTTTTTTATGCAAATATAATGTAAAAAATTGAGAGTTTATCAATATTATTTATGATTGATCCCTACTTTGATATATTTCCTTCAAGTATATTCCATGTATTAACAAGATCTTATTTTTCCATCATAGTATCTATGAATTTGTCATAGACAAATATTAATATCTCCAAATAAGCTTTATTCTTTTCATACTAAAGAATAGTCACAATGTAATGTTTTCTTTTAATTAAAATAAATGATTATATTGATTTTCTTTTCTTTTCCATGATTGCCTATAAGTTTTCTATGATAATTATCAATTTCATCATGGATTTCCATACATAATAATTTATGTCTCCAACCAATTTGTTAGTTTCACCTACAAAAAGATATCTTCTTGATTTTGTCTCTCTCATTTCTCACATCTTTGCAAGATTTTTTATAAAATTCTAACACCAATCCTTGGATCAAATTAAAAATGTGGAACTATGAAGTTCAATTATTAGTATTTGATTAAATTATGTCTACTATAAGGGCAAAGGTTCTACTAATATTTTCAATATATTTTCTCCAACTAAACACTATTTTTGCTATATAAATCCACTTTCTCAAGCTAAACTTTTTATAAAACTCCCAATCCACTTCCAAGTTTTTTTGGTTCAACCATGATTGCTTTCCCCATCACCACAACCAAATTTGAGAAACAAAGTATTGGTCACTAATATTGATGCCACAAATTTGTTGAAAAATATAAATATAAGTGAGCAATAGCTATTATGATTCTACATGTGCAATTTTTGTAGATAAAAGTTTTGCACTATGCAAGGCTTGGATGGACACATGAATGTATGTATGCAAAAAAAGGCATAAGCAAATCAATCAACTTTTTTTACATAATAATAACACTCTCGAATGTAGTGGTGTTGTATTATGTATATTCTTGCTTGAGAATGCAATGGGTACCTAGCCGTGGAAGATATGTAACAATGCAACAATAATTCTACTAAATCTAATAGAGCCTTAAATAAAATTCAAGTAATCTCTAATAATCTAATTAAACTTTAAACTATTAAAATAAATTTACAAAAACCAAATCCTACAAAATTTCTAAATCAAATCTTAATCTTAACCAAATCCTTGACCAATTCCTAAACCAAATCCTAATCAAATCCTAGATCTTAAATAAACTCTTAATTATTCCTATAGTAAAATCAAACCTCAACAACTAATGATCCAACTGTTGATATCAATTCAAAATTTTCATACTTTTTAATGTCTTAATTAAAAATAAGTACAAGAAAGATGAAATCAATTGCACTTACTAATTGAGAGAAATGCAAGATAATCCAATTGGGTATTGGAAGGCCTCATATTTCAACCTAAATGCTGAACTTTTAGCACCAATATCTCTTTTTTAAAATCTTTGAATTACTCTCAAATTTCACTTAAATGTTGGAAATTGAGTCTAATACCCATATAAAAAAAATCACTTCAATCCAATTAACAAATTGCTGAAGATCTTAGAAATACTCACTAACTTTCAAACTCCAATTTTTGAGACTTCAACCTACATAAACTTTCATATACTTCAATTCAATTGTTTGATTGAATTCAAAATTTATGAACACATTTATAACTAGCACACTAACACCATAGAACTCAAGAAATCCTCAAAATTTAAAATATTTCAAATTTAAAATATATATATATATATATATATATATAAACAAATTGAAAATTGACAAATTGAAAATTTTTGGTGCTCTTCAACAGCTGCCATATCAGAGGCTTGTCAACATTTGTAATCAATCTATTCCGCTCCGGACTGGACATTTCGAAACCTTTGAAAGATCATTGGATGATGAAATACATGCACGGCCTCCACCAAGAAGTATTTCCAGTGATTTTACCCGGATCTATTTCACGAAGAAAAACTTACATTTGAGCAGGTGCGTACATATAATAGCTGAATTTTTTCACATAATTACGATTGTTAGCTCTTGTGTTCTGATAAGGCAACTGCTCTTAATTGTGACTAACGAGCGCTTTCGAACGGCAGGCTGCAGAGCTTGTATACCGAAAATTCAGCGTCATACTATTTGGAATAGACGTCCGTCATGAAGAAGATGGCGAAGAGTTTCGCGACGTTGTCTTATATCCAAGAGGAAGGGTATTACGTCCATCAGATGTAGGCTTAAAGCTATCCCCGGATCTCAAAACAGCTGAAAAGATTTCTAAACTCGATACGATTGTGCATCGTCGCCCGGGATTGCTCCAGTTTTTTTGCGCTCCTCATGTGAAGTCAGGGTTGACGAAGGATTCGTATCCCGAGGAATTCCGTAAGCTTCTTGATGTAGTGAAGCAAGGAAAGTTTTCGGATATGGAATTAAATGACAAGTCGCAGTTAAATCACGAACTCAAAATTGCTATTTTCGACCAAAATGCGAAAGAATCAGAAGATTCATCTGTCCCAAAAGAAGATCGTTCACGGAAAGGTGACACTGGTGTGAGTCGGCATTACGGCCTCACTTCTCTCTTGTTTGGTGAAAGGTGACAAGGATGGAAGTTCACATGGTAAGGCCCGAAAGCAAGGAATTATTTCGCAAGTCTCTGCAGGGAAGGCGGAGATAAAAGTCATAAGTGCCCACCAGACTAGAGACACTAATAAATCATTGTCGAAAGCAAAGATTTTTGAAGAAAGCTCAGATTCGTTAAAAATTCATCGCCGTGTTTCGTTTCCTCCGGATTCGAAGAGCTCTGCCAAGACACCACGTGGAGCTATCTGTAATCTAGCGGATGCAATCAATGTTATGATGAGCTGGCCTCCCCAGGAGCAGAACTACAAACCTGATCCAGCAATTCTGGAACGTCATGCCACTGAAATTTTGGAAAACCTGCAACGCCGCACGATGAAACTTGTGAACCTCCCAGTTCCCCACATCCTAGTGTGCATACAAGGGAAATGGCCTAGCAGTCTATTCTACTTTGTTTCCCAGCTTCGAACGCCCGGTCTACCAAATTCTCCTGTAGTGATTTTACATCCTAATTTTCCATCTGAATCAGACTGGGGCAACGTTGGTTTCTTTGACGATGTTTACTTTGTGAAGGGTTCCCCTAGCTTGGGGCTAGACTTGTTACGTGCAGGTGTTATTCAAGCAGAGAAGGTAGTCATCCTAACGCAAGGTGTCCAGTTGGAGCAATCCATTGGAGAACACGCTGACGACCAGGACCGTTCGGCGCCTTCTCAAACCTTTACGCTTGATGTCAACAATGTCTTCATAGCAGCCACAGTTATTAGCCTTCTCTCTGCCTCTTTTCGAAAGTGCTAAATTACGTGGTGATTTGTTGATGTTTAAAATCACTCTGCCGATATTAACATGGTATTGAATCGGGTTATCGTGCAGGTGGAGAGATTGCTGCGGCATGAAACAGCTAAGGATCGTGTGATCGTTGAACTTCAGCAAGAAACAGAGATTCAGTACCTCCAACCACGTCTGTTATTCGATCGCCGCATCTTCGACAGCGAAATGTATCTGCGCAACCGATCTGCTACTTTCCAGTTCGCTCCTCCCTACATTGGTGGGAAAGCATTCTGTCCGGCTGCCCTCGGTGTCCTCTTGTGAGTACCCACCATCATATGTAATGCAGAATTGCCCAAGTACATAGCTGCATATTGTTCAATCTCTTCTCTCGAGTTTCATGACAAAAATTGTTCTTGCAGTGTGCTAATTCTTGCAAGTGTAAATTAACTTGCAGGTACGCGACATTTTTCAATCGTCAAACAGTGGCTATCGTGGACCAGCTTATAAGTGGAGGTCAAGTCCTTGAATATGATGAGGAGACAAATGAAGAGCGCGCTTCTGACACTATTATTCGGGATCTTGGCCAGATCCCCGTACCCAAATCTTTTGTTGGTTTTACCTTCAGTGAGCTTTTCATCGGGATGCTCAGGGATCACGGCGCCTTGGCCCTGGGTCTCTACCGAATAACTGGGTTGAAACACGACGGCCTTGGTTTCGTGTACACCAATCCTCTTCCTACTGAGGTTGTTGAAGCGACAGACCTTGTGTACATCTTACATTGAAACAGAGAGGGATAGATCTCTTTGCTTGGAGGGCTTGTTTGAAATCTCCAAATTAGGGTGAGAATCATTAACTTGATGAGGACAAATATGATTTTGTCCTTTGAATGGAACTTTATCCATATTTTTGAATATATTTAAAATCTCAACTGTAATTTTGCACATTTAGTGTTAGGAGGCTTAGTTGGACCTGCCTCAGTGTTCAAATCCTCTTTTACCAAGCCGCGCTTTTTCTCAACCAACCAGCTAAAGCTGCTGCAACAAGCACTGAACCTCCCATTCCCAGAAAGCTATCACCCAAGACAGAAATAAGTGGAGTGCGAGGTGAAGCATCTTCACTGGTGAAGTAATCCGTCCAATACGTGATGGTGGCAAATCTCTTGACCTCCTCCACTTGATTTAATGTTGCTTTCAGCAGTCTATTCTTCGTGGGTTTTTGCTGGTTTTACAAGTCCGAATGGTTTTGGATGTGGTTCAATGCCATCGTCAAGAATGTAAACCTCCTCTTACATCTTCTGAAACTCCTGTCTGGGCTTAGAGGCGTCACTTACCGCCTCCTGTGCTCTATCGCTCACAACTTTAGGTTTCAATTATTCAAGGACCAATTAAGAAACTGTGAACTCGTTTATCATTCTTCAATTCATGTGCTGCTCTGGCTAATGAACGCCAATTATCTGTTATTTATTTATTTATTTATTTATTTATTTATATTTATTTTTTCTCATAAATTCGGTGAATCTAATTCTAAACTTCCTCTAGACATAACCAACCAGATTGTATGATCTACAACAGAAGTACAATTTGGGCCATAAATCTGAGCAGTTAAACAGAAGCCACAGAGGACAAGAATGCAATGTTCCTTCAGTGTACAAGGCTACAGGGCAGCTAAGAATTGCTTGTAGAATCTGGGAAGACCTTCGCAGATATAAACACAAGTGCCACCATCTTAACATCAACAATGTCAAGCCATTTTACAGTCACACTTTGGTGCATTTACAGTCACACGTTGAATCCATCTGATGTGAATGCTCAGATTCTCACTTTCTTGCGCTAAAATGCCAACCGTCTCCTCTCGACGTGTGACAAGGGCGTGGCAATCCCCCAGGAGGTACGTGGTACACACGGACAACACAAACAGAATGAGGATCTACATTGGTATTTGCAGGCAATGCATTTTAGCATGTCTAATGTTCTTTCAACCATACCACCAGCTGTATGAAAGAATGAAAATTTTCATGTACATGGAGTCATAATTCCAAACCTTGTGCATTTGGAAGATAACTTAAAATGGGTCAACCAAGATATATTCAGATGTTATTCTTGGAACTTAATCGAGACCAAAGAATTCTTACAAACAAGATTTATTTGCATCACATGAAGAATTATTGTTCACATAAGAGAAGATAAATGACTTCAATTTCACCAACAATGGTAAAACATATTCCACACTAACAATTTTTATGTCCAAGGAAAAACTACATCAAAATTGAAAGTTATAAAGGATATATATTTGTAATAGAGCTCATTCAAATTCAATTTTTAAATACACTAATTTTTTTAGGTATATCTATTTTAGTAACCTAAGGGTTGTGAGGGTAACTTGAAAATGACAAGCCCGAGTAAAGACTCATTACCTTAAAGTAAGATAATACATTCTATAATGCCAAGTAAAAAAGAAGATAAATCTTTGTTTGTGCCAAGTTTTATACAAGAGAGCTTAGTTGTATCAAGAATGTTTGCACTTCACTTTCTTTTCCAAATAATGATGCAAATTCTTGAAATCTAAAAGATATATATATTCAAAAATGATATTTTTTTTACAAACTGTACCTTTAAATAGAAAGGATAACTTGTAAGGAACATGAATGTTACCCTAGACTCAATTTTATAGGTGATGGTCTAAAAAATAATATTTACCTATAGAATTGGATTTGGAGTAGTTTCCAAGAAGCACAAAATTTACATCATTGAATTTGTTTCTCACAATTTGCTTATAACAAAACCAAATCCTCAATAGTTCTAAATGAAAATGGCTTAAAATAAAAAAAACTAAACATATCTATAATCTCAATTATACACAATCATGTGATTTGAAATATTGTCTTTTTGAATTATCAAAAACATAATATAAACTTTAAGGTGTCTTCATCTTTCTAATGTCTTCTATTCAAAATATTTCCATCCAATGTGTTCTTTCTAAAACATAAAATTTTACTATATATATTTATATATTTAATTAAAAAAAAAAAAGCATTTTAACATCTCAAGTGTTATGAAATAACTATGCTTCTTTGAATCAATTGTTTTAAATACACACCATTACTACAAGTGTATGTTATAAATTTTGCAATGACTCATTACAAACAATATTAAAACTTATTGCTTTTTAATATTTCTCATTCTGTGTTAAGACCCTCGTTTTTATTTCCACTAAATGTTTTGCATTCTAAAGCCGAATTTCAAACCACATGAGTACCTTCACTAAATAACAAGTGTACTCAAGATATCAAAATAAAAATAGATTTGTACAAGTAATATAAAAGTAATAAAAATTTAATACATTTGACAATGTAATGGCCACAACTAGTAATTCTAAAGCTAAATAGAAATCATTATATTATAACATGTTTTTAAAATTTCATGAAGTCAAAAAAATACCAACTGTTCACTCAATACCACAAAAACAATACCAAATGCATTTACAGTTCTTTAAATACTAAAGATAGATCTCTTTTAAAAATATATTTTTTTGATGTGCATACATTCATTTCAATGTAATAAAAAAAATTCTAAGTCATAGAATACACATAATTTATCCAAGATATTGAGGAACTTACACACAGCTTTGTTCATAGGTGCATGCAAACTACTTGAATGAATACTTTGTAATTCAACATTCTTATGACTAATTCCACACACCATGAGTACACACATCCATCCAAAACTGATATCTATATATATATATATATATATATAAAGAAATTGCTATTATCGATCCTCATTAGTACATAGTCCATCATTCACTAGGGCATGTACTCATCAGTCACTGGGGCATGTATTGGTCATTCACAAGAATGTGAACATCACTCTGAAACCAATGTCAAACATATTCCTTATTGTTACTTTGGGCTTCTGCTGCACCAACCAACCACGGAGTCAGGGACCCACCCTTCCACACGGTATCACGCCCTGAACCGGTCCTGGAGCTACGGTAGAGCTGAAGTAGACTGGAGTCGACACTGCAGCCAAGTGCCCTCACACCGTCCTGAACAACACACCCGGAGTGCCCACGTCGGCGATGCCAAGTCAGCACAATGGATGCCAAAGTGGCAAAGGATGCGGGCGAGGCAGGGAGGCCCTGGAGGCTTCGAGAGGGTCCCCTGGAGTGAGTCGAGAATGCTCGGGAACCATCTGCTTCCAATTCTACACTCTTCCTTGCTTCCTTCCTTTCCGACGCCCTCTGCAATTCCCTCGGTCCGCCCTTGCATTGTGCATTCTGGAGTAGTATATATAGTGGCTCTCGGCGTCAGAGCGCGCATCGTTGATTGCAACACGGACTGAGTTGTTACGATCGGAGTGTGGTTGACGAAGTGTGTCCAGTTGTGGTCTTCAGCTTTCTGAGAGATAGTTTGGCAGCTGAGATTTTTGTGAGCGTCCATTGTGGGAGGTTATTCGTTCAAGTAGGTCGGCCGTTCCTTGAACTCCGAGGCTCTTAGGTCGCAGCTTGGGGTGAGACGCGGTTGAGTGCATTTTCTTCGGGTCCTGCGTTCTTGAGAGGTCGAGGCAGACATGGCTCTATCGCTGTTCGGCGGTCGTGGCAACAGTGTGTTGGATCCCTTCGAGTTCGGCGGTGTGTGGGATCCTTTCTCGGTGCTGGAGAGCGGGCCGTCCCGGCGATTTGCAGGCGACGCGCAGGCCGTGGCGAACACGCGGATCGATTGGCGTGAAACGCCGGAGGCGCACATCTTCAAAGCGGACCTGCCTGGGCTGAAGAAGGAAGAGGTGAAAGTGCGAGTGGTGGAGGGGAGGACGCTGGAGATCAGCGGCGAGAGGAAGAAAGAGGAGGTGCAGAAGGGCGATACCTGGCACCGGGTGGAGCGTGCGCAGGGCAGTTTTATGCGACGGTTCCGGCTGCCGGAGGGCACCAACACGGACGAAGTGAAGGCGCAGGTGCAGGACGGAGTTCTGACGGTGACAGTTCCCAAGCTTCAGGAACCGAAGCCACAAGTGCGCCAGATAGAGATCGCGTGAGGCGTGAAGGTGTGATGGTGTGCTACATACTGGGTCGCGGAAGGTGTACATAGAAACGGGAACGAGCGCTGTCGCGGGATTTGTTACAGTGCGGAAGTAGGAATAGGCAGCATCCTGCAGCATGCGCAGGGTGACTTTGAAATGTGTGAAACGAATGAGAGGGATGTGAATGATGGAAGATACTTGTGAACGCTGGGGCTTGCGATGGAGCCGCCCCGGGCCATTGTACACGAATGAAGGAGAATGTGAATAAAAGAGACATGCTGCTTAGAGCGGTTAATCGCAAGCTTGTGAAGGGTGATGTGGTCGGATGTGTGTGTGTGTTCGATGTGACGGTTCGCTCATGTCCAAACTGATGAACTGGAAGGTTTCTTTTGTCAGACACAATATCAAAGTTTGCTTACGCAGGGATTCTGGCCTTCATGAGTTTGCGGTGTATGTCGATCGTGTCGTGGTGTCATGGCTCTGCCGAAGGAATTCTTGATATATCGTAAGGTTACGCCAGTTTTGTAGTTGCGGTCAACCTGATGACCACTGCTAGGGTAGCTAGTTTTGAGTACACCAGTACCCGCTAGATAAGTTCGGATATGAGTTGTCTTGTTTTATATGATTGTTCTATACACATTTACATAATTTAAGCATTGGATGTATCTGGTTATGTGATTTGGATAAAAAGAAAAAGATACAGTAAAGATACGGGAAATGAAAAAATAAAAGAAAAAATACACAGATTGGGTGGTTTATGTGTTGATGACAAGTATAGCACGAAATCTTGGAATGTTGACAACTTAGCATATCAAGAAATTTTACAAACGATGATGTAAAGCATCAAATTACCATTCAAATTTTGTGAACTCCAAACACAATCAATGTTGTTGAAGGTTGAGTCTGAAAACCTAGTGTTTTGGCCA